CCTGGCCCAGCAGCAATGTGTCCTTTGGGACTTACCTGCTGGGGAGGTCGGTTCTAACACTGATGAGGGCAACGTGGCAGTTTCTGGGGATGATCCAGGGGGTGCCCGTGGGGTCCTGCCCCACCTGCCCTCTGGTTGTCAGGTTTGCAGCCAGTGATTTCCATGTTTCCCCCTATAAAGCTGCTCGGAGTAAAGTTTGATCAGCACAGGACAAACCCCAGGGGCAAGCAAGTCCCCCAACCCTGCCAGCTGTGTTCCCTGCCAGCACTGGCTGCCACTCACCTTTTCCCAGTGATGGTCATTTGGACTAAGACAGCCATGAAGAGCCCTGAGCCCGGGGAGAGTGCCAGCGAGATCACTGGAGATGGAAACCTTTAACCTTCAGCCTGTGGGAAAAACAGCGGCAAAGAAAAGGGAAAGGGGAGCTGTCAGAGCCTGACACCTGGGCTTTGATGTTTATCACCTCTCACTGATATCATCATCACCTTTTTTCTTTCCCTTCTTGTTTAAACTTTCCATTTAAAACCGTTTTTGAATTTAGAAACATGTTTCTTCCTAACAAAAAGTTTAGTTAATTAAACACAGTTTAATTCTGAAAAAAATGGGAAAACATTTTTTAGTATTCAAAACACCTCCATGCCCTGATCCAGCATGGATTTGGGGGAACAAGGGCTGGTTCTGATCCTCCAGAAATTCTGGGGTTCCCTCAGGACATCATGGAAAAATACTGGGCACCCTGACTTTGGGAGCAAACCCCCAGAGCTGCAGAGCCATGACATCCACCCTGAACAGTGCTGAGGCAGGAGCTGACACGCTTTGTTGCCTTTAAGTTATAGTTTCTCCATGTGTTTGTAGACACAACCATGCAGAAAATCACTGGCTTTAATATCCCACTTGTTAGCAGGGAGTGATTCGTGGCTGCCTCCAGGCTGACACTTCCCAACCTCCTGCTTTTATTTGCTTGTCCCCAGTTCCAGGCTCGCAGCGCGAGGCTGCGGCTCATCACTCACCCCGAGATGCCTTTGATGGGTTTGGTGTTGGGTGGATTTTTTTCAGCTTCCTCTGCCATTTTCTGCAGAACATCACTCCCATTCAGATCAGAACATCACTCCCATTCAGATCAGTGGAGACTGCTGGAGAATTTGCAGAATAAAAGGAGTTGGGCATAAACCCCCATTAAGAAGCCTGTGCCAGAGGGTGAGGGGATGCAGCACTCACACCATACAGTACAAAATATCACTATTAATATATTCCCATCCCAAGACACTCAGGATCCAGCAGGACTCCTTGGGTGCTGTGAATTCTAATCACAGCTGTCTCTGCCATTCCTGGGTGGCAATGGGAGCTCAGCAGATTCACTTTAGACATGATACAGGGGTCATGAACAGATTCCCATCCACACACAGATGCTAACATGGCTGAGCACTTACCACAGTCAATCGTTCCAAGGTCAATCCTGATGGCAGTTCCTGGGCTAGCAGCCCCTCCTGGCCACAGCAGTCACCCACCAAGGAATAAAATGCACCAAAGCCTTGACATCTTCTGATCTGGAAGGGCGGCTCACAGAGCTCCAGAGGCTTATGGAACAGTGTGGGTTCAACAGACAGAGAGAAACAATGAGCTGGAGGCAATTCCCAAACTTCACATCAGCAGATAACACTGTGCTAGAGGAAAGCAAGCAGGGCTTCAGGTAAGTCCAGCAGAGTTACATCAGCCAAGACACAGCCTGGGTACAAGAATCCCTCACAAAAATGCAGCCATCTATGAATAGTCCAGCACAGCCTCATCAGAATGTGCCCAAGTCCCACACCATCCTCTCTGTGCTTAGTACCCAAGTGGGTGCTAAGCCTCCTCTTCAAGTACCAGAGGTGCTCATTATGCCTAAATCCAGACACAGATAAAGGGCTGAAGCTGCCTGATGGAGCCCACAGCCCACTGGATCCCAGGGCCTGCCAAACCCTGGTCATGGGAGCAGCAGGAGAGCTCATGGCTGTTGACCATGGCACGAGGTGTGATAAGCCTTTCCATGGGCTTGGCCTCCCACCTCCATGGGCTCTGGCTTGGTCTCCCAGTTCCTGCTTGTGCTGCACCTCACCACAACAGGGACCCCTGAGGTTGTCACCACCTCGCCTGGAGGATCCTCAGAGGTTCTCCAAGCTTTGTGCTGATCTTCTGGAGAGAGGCAAGGAACAGTCAGTATATAAACCCTGACTGAGAAAGAGGAGAACCAAAAGAATTAAAGGACTGGGTAATACTGTTGTGTGAGCTAATCCCCAAGGGGTTCTGATATCCACCAATACAAATAACTTCACTGATAAATCTGAGAGTCTGGGTAAGCTCTCATCCTCAGGTCTCAGGTGAGTGCTCCCAGCAGGCTGATGCCAATGGTCTTGTTCAATGCCCCAAAGGAGATGAGAGACTTGCACACCAAGACCAAAGGAAAAACCTAATCTGCTTAATTACATGGTACAGACAGAAGTAAGGGTGAGGAGAAATCTAAGATGGGCAGTGGTAAATTCTGTTTTTGGAGACACGTGTAACTGGGGCTCTTGGATGAGCAGCTCCTGCTCCCCAGAGGTTCATGGAGTTGTGGGGAGGACATGAGATCACCTAGGGGCTAACCCAGTGGGAATTGTGGTAATATTCTTATTGATTTCAGGCAGGGTTGGATGAGGCTGAGAAGAACCCTCACTTGCAGGAGAATGGGCTGCTCAGTCCCAATTGGGTCCCCATCCTGCTGTGCATCCATGATCCCACCAGACTGCAGCAAGGCTGCACAGAGAGCTCTCCTCCAGACTAGTCACACTGCTGCTTTTGCTGTGGCTGCCCCTGAGGCTAGTGACCACCATCATGTCCTCACTTACCCCTCCCAGGTACTCCACCCAGCAGGACCCAGCTCTGGGAGCTCATCCTGGTGGGATACTGCAGCACTGAGTAATTTATTTCCTTGCTTCATTTCTGTATAAAGTGCGTGATGAGGTTTAATCCGTCATTACCTCCCTCCCAGTGCTGTGCTCGGTGGCCTGCTGCTAAGCCCAGACAGGGAGATTTACATCTTATCTAACAGGAGTGTAAGATTTATGGATAACTCCCGACAAGGAGCACATCATGCCAGAAAGACACTTTTGTGCTAGTAACTTGATCAGTCATTATGCTGTGAGCTGACATCTAATTAAGCCTCCACAGGCATCATCGGGTCCAGAACAGCTCTTCAGGAGGAGAAAATCCACATCTAAGCACAACGGTGGCAGCTTATCCTCAACCCTTGCACTGTTGGAAGCGATAATAACACTCCCCAGATAAACCTGCGCTGGAGCAAGGAATCACAGGGGCAAATTCCCAACTACTGCTCTAAAACATAGCAAAGACTCATTTCTCAGAGTCTTTTCTAGAATCAGATCCCACGAAACACCTCCCATGGCCCCAGGGGACTCATCTGAGGGTTACAATCTTCTCAATGGATTTACTTTTCTGAACACATTTCTTGCCTCTCAGTGGGCTGCACGCATCAGCGTAGAAGTGTAAATCTTGCTCTCCCTTGGCAGGCTGCTCCATCTTCATATATTCTCTTGACACTGCTCTCTGGATGCCTTCAATGGAAATGCACAATGTGGCTAGAAGTCTGCTTTTCTTGGCATTTCCCTGTCATGCTGAGCAGGAAAGCAGCACAGTGCTGGGGAGAGCCAAAGGCTTTGAACATGTCAAGATGCACCTGAAACCAGTGCCCAGTACCTCACGTCACCAATGCACAAAGGACAAAGGCTACTGCCCAGGCAGCAGGTGTTTCAACAAGGGCTGAACACCTCACCCCACTGCCAAGGGATTCAGACCAAAATGGGGCACCTCAACCCTCTCTGGAAGACTGGTCATGCCTCAAAGGTGAGACCACAAATATTGAGGAGGGATGGGGAGAAGTCATTAACAGAGCACAAAGGAGAGCTTTGCGATTTTTGATTGGGAATGGGTTAAAAAGAAGAAGGAATGATTGCACATGGGCTGTTCCAGATCTTTTGTCCGATTTAAAACTTGCTGAACCCAACAGAAATACTCATGTTACCTTCAACAGACCTACCCAGGCCTGGTGGAAATGGAGGGTATCCTTGATGAATTACCGAAACCTCCTTCAGCATGACATGTGGAAGTCTCATCCCACCTGATCTGAGCTGCCCAGCTGGGAAATTGACACAAACTACAGCAGCTTCTGATAGAATCCTAGAATGGTTTGGGTTGGAAGGGACATTAAAGCTCTTCTCATTCCAACCCTGTGCCATGGACAGGGACACCTTCCACTAGACCTGGTTGCTACAAGTCCCATTCAACCTGGCCTTGGACACTTCCAGTGATGGGGCAGCCACAGCTTCTTTGGGCAACCTGAGAAGCCAGTGACTCACCACCCTCCCAGGGAAGAATTTCTTCCTAATCTCTGATCTAACCCTGCCCTCTATCAATGGGAAGCCATTCCCCCTTGTCCTGTCACTCCATGCTCTTGTCATAAGTCACTCTCCAGCTCTCTTGGAGCCTCTTTAGGCATTGGAAGGGGCTCTATGGTCTTCTGGAGCCTTTTTGTTCTCCAGGCTGAACAACCCCAGCTCTCTCAGCCTGTCTCCATAGCTGAAGAAGACATGGAGGTGGCTGTCCCTGCAGTGTTCAGAAGAAAGCACAGCTGCAGAGCAAAGAAACCTACATTGGCCTTCCAACAATGTTTGATTTCTTGGCACCCTCCACCCAAGACCTTTCTTTGTGTTCCTCAGGAACACCACAGTGGAGACAAGCTGCCCCAGCACCTGCTGTTCAATACCTCACCTTGCCAGGCCAATGGCCAATGTAATCAAGTCTATGGGGAAACAATAAAAACAGTACAGAAAACAAAGTGTCCCCCAGTGTCCTGGTTCCCAGCTCTTTTTGTCAATTCTTGCTCCATCGGCCTCAGTTGGGAGCATATATAAAGCCAGGAGAAGTCCTCGGTGTGACCACGGCAAGACACAGTCCGAGTCAGAAGAATGGGAAGACTGGCCAGGAGAGGTAAAGATGCAAACTGAATAGCTTGATGCAGGCCTTGCTCTTACTCACTTTGGGTGTTTCCATAAGGGGCAGCTCTCATCACCAGTCCACTTTCTGCAAAAACTGATATAAATATGTATGTTTTCTGCAGGTTAAACTTTCTGAATTATTTGCTTTATTAATATTATAAGAGCATTACAGACATTATAAATGATTCCCAAATGTATTTCAGAGGCAGGTAACACTTTCACCTTTTCATTTGACTTTAGCCTCTGCCGTATCTTCCATTCCTTCCTCTATTAATTTTAGCTCCTGTTTATTTGCTGGTTTTATACAAGTTGTGGCCATTCTGTGCACCTCAGCAGGTGTGATATCACTGCAGGCACTGTTCTAGCTTATGGGCTTGCAGGAGGTCTTCAAGGCTGAGCCTCTGTCAGTGCTTTTAAATCCCCAGGCACCACAGAAGAGCTGTGGGTTGTTATTGCACCAAAGCTAACAAGCCCCACACCACAAACCCAACCCAGGAGCTGATCAGTGTCTCCATGCCTTGGAGGCTGAGCCAAGGCCATGGCACTCTGACCAGACTGCTCTGGGTGACCTCCTCCTCCTTCTTCTCCAGGTGTCAGCATGGCAACACTCTGCACCCTGAGCATCCTTCTGAGCCTCCTGGTCCCCACTCACACCATCAGGTCACCTGACTGTGGCGGCATCCTCACCCCAGCAGGACTGAGCTACCGTAAGTCCAGACCCACATCTCTCATGCTGGGAGGGGAGGCAGTGGCATCTTCCAGTTGGGTGATGAAACATCAAGCACCAGCACTAGAAACTTGTACCACTAACCCACTCACCTGCATCACCTCCTGCCTATGGCTAGCAGCAGGGGCTTATAAGGGATCGAAGTGTGTCACTTGGGTGGGCTTTAGTCTGCCCATCAGGCCACAAGCTCCAGAGGGTCTCATAACACATTTGTCCCATTTCACAGTTGCTGAAGTTTCAAAGCCACATGCAGAGACAGTCCTCAGGCAGGACCTCATGGCCCCACCATCCCCAGACCCATCTCTCGTCTCCTCAAGCGGGTGAGTTGTCCTCTCTTGCCCAGGGTTTGCTGCCATACTCCTGGTTCATGATGGTGTCCGTATATCATCACAAAAGGCATTTTGCAAGCAAGGACAAAAACCCCCCTGAAGATCAGGAGGTTTAGAAACAAGCTCCTGGCTCCTCTGCTGGGGTCCAAGCATAGCAGACCCCATGTTTCCATTAGGACATGGATTTATGGGTGCATATTTCATGGACTTTTGGGGATTGTCAGAGACTGCACATCAGTCTGTGCTGGTCTTCTGACACTTTCATTTCTGCTCCAGCAGGAACCAAATTAATGCTGTCAAAGTTGATGAGTTTTCCCTGACAATCATCCCCGACACTGGGATGCGGCTGAGCATCGATGTGGACCTTGACATCACACCTTCCCCGTGAGTGCTGGGGCTGCAGGGCTGGAACCAGCCCAAGCTCCTGGATGGAGTGACAAGGCTGTGTCTGGCACCTGCAGGAGCAAGGGCAGCCTGGGGGAAGCATGGCCGGGAGCAGCCCCTGGCTCCAGCCTCCTCCTCTCCTCCCTGGCACAGCTCAACCACCAAGGAGATGAGACTGTCCATCGTGGCAGACCTCCATGTGGAGATGAATCCTGAAGGGAACCTGGAGCTGGGGACCTCTACCTGCAAACCCACCCTGGAGGAGGTGCAAAGCACCGACGAGATAGACAGGTCAGCTCTGTGGTTTTCCTCCTCGAAGGATCTGGGCAATGAGGGGAAGAAGAAACTGAGGCACAAGCATTTCTAGGCAGGAAGGTGATGAGATTGAGACCTGCTCACTGTCCTGAAAGCTATCTTCGTGGGAGGAACTTTGCTCTGTTTTCAGGGTGGTTTCCCCTCTTTAAGGGAGTTTCAGTCCCTTGCAAAGACAGGTCAGCTCTGTGGTTTTCCTCCTCGAAGGATCTGGGCAATGAGGGGAAGAAGAAACTGAGGCACAAGCATTTCTAGGCAGGAAGGTGATGAGATTGAGACCTGCTCACTGTCCTGAAAGCTATCTTCGTGGGAGGAACTTTGCTCTGTTTTCAGGGTGGTTTCCCCTCTTTAAGGGAGTTTCAGTCCCTTGCAAGGGTGTGGCACGTTGTGCAGC